TGTGTGTGTGTGTGTGTGTGTGTGTGTGTGTGTGTGTGTGTGTGTATCACCATTTAAATCCAAGTATCCATTCCTATCACCATTCAAGTGCAAGTATCCATTCCGCCACATACTAAGCGCCACATATAAGCTGCGTGTTGTTTATAAAGTCTGTCTGAGCTACAGATCTTTCGCTTTGTATTATTTAATTTTTACTTTAAAAATTACTATCAAGTAGAGCTTCACTGAAATATATCTATTGCATTTGGTTTATAAATCAGTTGTACAAATATAGCAAGTTAAGAGAAGTCTAGTTTGAAAACATCCTGGAGTTTTTGCTGCACACTTAGGGAAACAGTTTGCTTCCCCTGCTGCCGAGGTGAGTTCAGTGGTGCCGGTAGAGCCAGTGATCTCTTATAATATCCGGAGTCTGTTTCTGTTTCTTACCAGCATTTATAAACCAGAAGGTATGTAGCAGATTCTTGTTAACTAAAGACCACTGGGCTGGAGAAAGGCCTGGAAGGAGCCTTGAGGGAACGGTGTGTATTTAACCTAGAGAAGAAAGCCTGAGGAGGTGCTCACGGTTAGTTTTGGATATTTGTGGAGTTGTTTGTATAAGAGCGATTTGAATTGTTCTGTGTTCAGAGGAGACTAGCTAAGACCAATCAGTAGAAGTAGCAGAAGGCAGATTTGGGTTTGGTTTTGAATGGATGTGCTTTGTAACAACTACAGTTCATCCAAATAAATTGTACTGTCTTGCAGAGCAGTGAGTACTTGACACTGGATAGATTGGAGCAGACATTAAAGAGATAGCTATCACAGATGAAAGGGGATTCTTTTTAATTTTTAAAACATCTTTTTATGGAATATTTCAAAACCGAAATGCAGCAAATAGTTTAAAGACCGCCGTGTGCCTACCAATCAGATGTAACTTTTTGAAGGCAGTCCCTGCTCAAGAAATTCACTGTCTAAACGACTCTGTGAACTTCGTATTGTTTCATTATTTGCAGTCTTGTTTGGGGGCATCTGTAAAGCTTAGCTGGTTTAGACAATCAATTGCCTTTAGTATGATGGGACATAGTTTTGGGTGTAATTGTTAGCCTTAAGTCTCAATGTTAACTAATAATTTTTTATGAAATGAAAATTTTGTGTCAAAGAATATTTGAAATTATTTCTTTTCCAGACCTGCTTTGTTCACTTATGATTTTATATTAAAAGTATTTTCTGTTTCATTCTTTCTATTGAACTTTTGTTATTAAGATTAAGAGATACCACTTAACATATATTTCTGTGTGTGCTTTTGTATCTATATGTATTGTGTTTTTTAGGAAAAAAGCCCAGCTCAAGAAAAAAAGAGGTGTGCCTCAGATTAATGAACAAATGCTGTTTCATGGTACCAGCAGTGAATTTGTGGAAGCAATTTGCATTCATAACTTTGATTGGAGAATAAATGGTATACACGGTGCTCTCTTTGGAAAAGGTAATTATCAGAATTCCAGATTCAGTTTGAGTCTGAGGAGGAAGTTTTCTCTCTTTAGAGTTCATTGATTGTTTTGTAATGCAGGGGTTTGGTAGTCATGAAGTTAAAAGTGACTATACTAATTCCAGGCACACCCTAAGTGTTTCTGAACCATAGGAAAGTTACTTTTTACTTGTACAAGATGGAAGCAAGACAGTTATGCCTCTTCCAAATGAAATAGCTCCCCAAGTCCCAAGCATCCAGATGGGGCATTGTGTCCATATTAGTCAGTTTTTGTAATATGTTTAATTTTCATATGTAAGTCTTTTTCATGAATAAGCCTGTACACTAAACTGCTTTATTGCAAATATATAGAAAATGATAAAACAATTATAATTACAATGTGCTCTGGTGTAGATACTAGTGTTTTTATTTTGTTTTTTAGAAAGTGATAGGTAAGGATATTAATGAGCTAGGCATGGTGGCTTTTGCCTGTAATCCCAGCACTTTGGGAGGTGGAGGCGATAGGATTGCCTGAGCCCAGGGTTTTGAGACCCACCTGGGCAACTTGGCGAGGCCTTGTCTCTACAATAAATAAACAAATAAATAAAACTAGCTGGATGTGGTGGTGCTCGCCTGTGGTTGGAAGGCTGAGGCAGAAGGATCGCCAGAGCCCAGCAGGTCGAGGCTGTGGTGGCCGTGAGCGTGCGCCACTGCACTCCAGCCTGACTGACAGAGTGAGACTCCGACTCAAAAAATAAATAATTAGCCGGGCTTGGTGGCTCAGCCTGTAATCCCGCGCCCTTGGGAGGCTGAGGTAAGTGGATTGCCTGAGCCCGCGGGTTCGAGACCCGCCTGGGCAGCGAGACCTCATCTCTACAATAAATCAAAAAATCAGCCGGGCGTGGTAGCACATGCCTGTAATTCCTGCTACTTGGAAGGCTGAGGCGGAAGGATCGCCGGATCCCAGCGGGTTGAGGCTGCGGTGGCCGGGAGCGGCCACTGCACTCCAGTCTGGGCGACAGAGTGAGACTCCAACTCAAAAAAATACAAATAAATAAATAAATAAAAGAATATTAATGAGCAGTAAGGACTAGTAGGAGAAAGCTTCACCTTCCTTCTAATATTGTGAAAGTCCAGATTTTCTCACTTATGCCCACTACTCAAGCAAATTAGGGAGAGAGGTGACACGAAAAGGTAAGGGACAGACATTTATTTTTTGGGTCCTTACTTTGTACCTTGACAGCAAGAGAACTGACGCCACTTAGGATCAGGATATGCTACATTTTGAAGAGGTAAATTAATTTTTAAAGTAACTACTGAAAAGGCCGTTCCATTTATTTAACTGTAAGGAGGTCAGAAAGTGTTGCATATCTCTCATCAATATTGGGTGAACATGAGACTTTGCAATTCATTTCCAAAATTGTTTAGAGTAAGTATTCCCTTAATGATGCCAATCTCTCTTGTCTTCCATTTTAGGAAAGTCACCGTTTTATTGAGTTTCCATAGGTAGGCAATGAGCCAGTGAATTTGTTCTTTTGGAATGCTCAGATACGTATAGCGTTGTAATCTCCCAGAAATCTCTCCCTGCGTCTGGGGTTCTGTTATTTCCAGAAATGTTACAGAATTTGTTACCCTGTACCGTAGATATATGGTTTCTTGGGGTTTGAAAGAGTCTCCGCAGGCCAGTCACTTCTGTCGTAACCGCCAGAGCTTTGCTGGATCCTGGACTTGGGAGCAGGGCGAGGGAGTGGCAGAAGGAAAGAGAAACAGGAAGGAGGGCCAAGCAGACCATCCCAGGTCCTGCCCCACTTTTAGATACAGAACCGTTTTAAGCTATTTTCTTGGTTGGGTTTGTCTGCAAGATTTCTCTTAAAAACAGAACTCTGGTAGTTGCACTTTGGCAGGGTAGGGGATGGTGTCCATGGTAAGGGCTGGCCTATGCCAACAAACCTATTCCTGTGGCAGTCTGCACCACAGCTGTCCAAAACAGATGGATTTCTGTTTTCTTCCTAAAGATCTACAGATGAGGATGAGGAAATTCCACATCTATTTTTGGTAAAGAGCTCCACGCATCTTTTCTCCTGATAGAATGTTTGTGCTTGTTTTTCATATATTCTTAGGAGTAATCTTGGCTTTTCTTGGTCCTCTTTGTTTAAGGAACCTATTTTGCTAGAGATGCTGCTTACTCCAGTCGCTTCTGCAAAGATGACATAAAGCATGGAAACACATTCCAAATTCACGGTGTCAGCTTGCAACAGCGGCATCTATTTAGAACGTATAAATCTATGTTTCTTGCTCGAGTGCTAATTGGAGATTACATAAATGGAGACTCCAAATACATGCGACCTCCTTCCAAAGACGGGAGCTATGTGAATTTATACGACAGCTGTGTGGATGATACCTGGAACCCAAAGATCTTTGTGGTTTTTGATGCCAACCAAATCTATCCTGAGTACTTGATAGACTTTTGTTGATTGCACGTCCAAATCTCAGTGATCGAGGAGGTTTTACTCTCTTTTGCAGGAGGGTTTGTTCACTAGTCACCTAGCCACTAAATGTTGATGATCTCATGCTGTTAAAACAGATATGAGGAGAAAGTGGCCTCCCTATAAAAAGACACACTGACTTTAAGGCTGGTTTTTCTGTTGTTTTGTTTTTGCTCATTTCTCGTAGTCCTGTTTGTTAAAAATTGATCACCATTGTCATTTTAACACAAGGGGTGAAAGACACCATTCCAAATGGAATCAGCTGAATGTCAATTAATGTGGTTGTTCAGAATCTTTAAAGTTTACATGTGTGTTATCAGGATAATGATTTTCATTCAAATAAACGTATTCATATAAACGCTCAAAAAATAAAGTATAGGCATAAATGTGTCCCTTAGGAGGATTGATCCTTTATAAATTGAATTCTGATAATAGTGTCATCCGCCAGTTAACATGTTGCTTCATTCATCTTCTGAAGAGAGATTTGAAACCCTTCAGAATAGTTAGAGTTCCCTGGAAAAAACCAGAAGCAAGACAGTTCTTTGCGGTGCTGTCAGACAAGCCAGAAGGAGAAAGTCAAGGTAAGAGTGTCCTGCTTCCAGCTGCCTTAGGATTAGCAGACTGCAGCCTCAGAGTTGCTCCTGTCATTCTCCTACATTTGAACTGTCAGTTGCTGCCGACTATAATTAGCCTGTACCTCACCGGCACTTGGATTCTTGCACCATGACTTGCTGTGCAAGGTGTTTATCGCATCTTCAAAGTGAAACTTTCACTTATTCAAAACACTTATTTTGCCTTCGTTTTGGAGTTCCTACAATGATCATTACTTCTAAGATGTTTTTACCGTCACCCCTACAACACATACAGCTATTCAACAATGATTCTAAAATTCACGTGTTGAAGCTATGTCTCCCATCTTGAAACATTGCAGAAAGCATGAGATTCTTGGGACAAATCTTGTTAACCCTTTGGAGTAGCTATTGACAATCTACTAACTCTCTAGAAAAGTTAGATGGGATTCATTATCATGTTTAATAGAAGTTTGTGCACCTGTTCAATCTGTTTTGCTTTTCTGTTATAAGGAGGAATGAGTAGTGTGGGAACAGCTCCCTGCCCCTAAAGTTATTCCAGCAGAGATAAGACAACTTGATAGGCATGTCAGGAGTTCAAGTACCAGCTGGGGAATTGCCCATGTGATTGTTAAGTCTTTCCAACGTAGCTTTTTCCATGATTCTACCCATGAAAGAGAGCTCATGTACCAAGTCTTGCCCAGAAAACCTTTCTCTAACTCTAATACTGAATTTCCTCGCCATTATTTTCACCCAGTTTTGGATGAGAGTTAGTGAACACAATTTAACTTCTCAAAAAAAAAAAAAAAATTCCAATAAGTGTCCATGCCTATATTGTTTACTTAAGTCATTTGAATTGGGAAGGCATCCAGAAATAAGAGTGTAGAATAGGATTAGGGATGGTAATTCTTCAAGTGCCATATATACCCAGATTTCCATTACAGCCACACATGCAATTGTGCTGGGAAGAAAGAAAGGCGTTCACAGGAAACTGCATGTCCACTACTTTTTCCTGACCTAGATAGGATAAGCAGTCTAACTGCGGGTTTAGATAAAGTACTGAGAATATTTTGAAAGAGCACATTTCTAAAAAATGCAGAGATTATCATGGAAATAATCGGAGGCAAAGTTGAGGCTACCTCGTAAGAAGTAGCACACCATGCCTCCCAACTTGTTCACAAAAAACAATATTAGAGACATTCGGAATTCAGATTTTGAAGATCCTTTTTGTTCTATTTATTTGTTATTTACGTCCCAAAAAAGTTACAGTAGTTCCCTCTTCAACACAGTTGTCTTGTTTCCACTTTAACAGGCATACCTCTCTCAGCACTTGAATGGAATAACTATTGTAGCATTTCAGAGATATTTTTCTTTTAGACACATGCAGATCTTATCTCAAGGTGACTGATAGTCCAGAGTTAAGTATTTTCAAGGCCGTCTATATGAACTCTCAACTTGCTAGTTGGTTTATATGAAATATGTAAAGTACACTGCAGTAGTCATTGTAAGAAAGTACTGTACTGTTACTTTTGTTTGAGAATGTACTGCCAATTCTTCTTTTATAAGAATGAATGATTTTGATACATATTTTAAAATGTGATGCTGTAGAGTTAATGGATGTTAAACTTTTATGTCTTTGTTTTGGTTTGAGAATCATATTATAACCAGTATGTTATGAGACTGGACACAGTCACTTGCCACTTTTTCCTGCTGTCATCACATAGTGTGGGTGAAGAGAATGAATAGAAATCATTCCTGGATAATGATAAATGACTTTTAAAACTCTGTATTGAATAAGTTCCAGCTAATAGTGACTTTTCTTTTTCACTTTGGTGATGTTAGCCTCAGGGTTAAAAAAAATATGTATTTATAAAAACATTTCATAAGTCTTTTAGTTATGAACAGGAAGGTTTTTGTATTAGTGCATCATTTCATTTGTAGACTGTTGATGATGATGACAAGGAATTTGGAGCCATTTTTGACATATAAATATATTGTTTTTACATTTGCTGATTAAAGCTTTTCTCAGCAGTTCTTGGTTTTCTGCGTACACCACGTGTTTGTGTGTTATCTTTGTGTCTCCTCTCTACTTCACATGATCTAGACCTCACACCCTGGAGGAGTCTGTTGCCTGTGACTCTGCCGTGCCACACTTGCAGATGGGAGAATCTCTTGCTCTTGGGTCGGATCGCCATGAGCAGCAGCTAATCAGATAACTCGTGGGGAAATCATTTGCTGTCTGCTGCTGAAAAATCACCGCGCAGGCCTGGCGTCTGTGGCGTCGTGCACTCTGGGTGTGCTCCCTGGCTTGGGAATGACTCTGGTCACCAGAGAAGCGAGGAGCATGGTTCTTAGAGTCCATCCAGCCTTTGGCCACTCCCACCATCTCTACAGTCATTCCCATGGAAGTAAGTTAAACTTTCCATTTGACCTTTAAGCTTCTGTCAACCAAAAAAGAAGGTATCCAAGGCTGTCCTAATTTTAGAACTGAGAGAAATGGGGGGCCAAACGACTGGGCTTGCCTGCAGAAGCAAGACAGCTTCTCCATTCACGCCAGTGATGTCCCAGCCTGCCTAAACGTCAGACTAATTATTAAGACTCGTGATAAAAATCCAGTTGAGCTTTGATGGATGATGTAGACGTTGACATCCTTGCACATTTTGTTCCTAGGTCATTCAGGTATTTGTGGTCACCTCCCAGGTTGCCAGGATTAGCACGAGAAACCATCTCGTAGTGGCCCTAGTTGTGCTTTTTCTGTCTCCTTGGGAGAGGATTTTTTCAATTTATTTTTGAGTATTTTCTTTTGCTTAAAACAGTCAGTTTCTAGATGCAGTTATATATTCTGCACTTATAAGAGAGAAATAAAAGGTAATGAAAAAATCACAAGGAAAAGAAAAACTCCTTGTCAAAATTATTTTTGATAAGAAACTTTAGCAAAGTGATTTATTTTGATTTCTTTGCACTGTATGCAGGAAGAGCTTTGGTGATTTGAGATGGCCAGCCACACTTCCCTACGAATACTTTCGTGATGTTGCTTAGAGCAACACAGATGGAAGTAATGAGCATTTCAAAGAAATACGAAGTATGGGATTATTTGGGGGCTGCCTGGTTTGTGTGAGTAATGTATACAGGGAGAGGTGAGCCCTAAATATCTAGGAGAGTTCAGAGTTCCTCTTTCACCCTTCACCTTCTTGGGAAGGTAGCTTACTTCTCATGTTTTCGGCAACTCCAGGATGGAAGGGGATTTGAGAACTCACATAGTCTCTCTCTTTCTTTCTGACCCCTTCCTATACTGAGCTGTGCTTGTTCCTTCCCAGGTACAAGGATGTCTCAGGTATTCCTCACATCCCAGGAGTAAATTCCTCACCACAGTAGAGCCAAGTCTCCTGCTGTAAGATTATGTAATCCATTTTCTCAGCTTTAATTGCTAGGCTTTTATTTTTCAGCACTGCAGGCTAAGAACTTGGCTTTTATGAACTCTCTCACTGTGTGGCCGTGTAGCTAGAATTCAGCACTGGTCTTACTCATTTTTAAGTGGCTTCTTGTGAGATTGGAACATAGGTTTAATGCCAAAGACATTTGTGATTTCTGCAGCTTCTTAGCTTTGCTGTGCCCTCTACCGAGAGGTCATACACAGTAAGCTGATGCTACTGGCTCTGTGGCTTATGCTGACTTCACTTTGGTTAATCGCTTAAAGGAGAGCCACAATCCAGAATTTAATTCACATCATTTTTTGCAGTATTAATTATACATCCAGACTGCACACCTTGCATTTTTCTGTTCTTTGATAGAAATACCTTTTCCTGAAGGGCTCGTTATGCGTTAATGTCTCCTAGACGGCATGCAGAAGCTGTAGGCATCCGAAGTCCGCATTTGATGAACACTGTCAGAGAAGCGGCATGCAAGCCCATTTCTTTCACTTCACTCCTTTAAGAAGAAGATCAAGCACCAGCTTGGGAGCCGGCTGATCTGGATTTTATTTCTGTCTTTGCCGTTTGACTTAGGGTGACCTTGGACAACTTACTGGAGGGGGAAGTTCGCCTTTCAGAAGGTGAAGTTTGTGAAAGACCAGCCAGACTCCTGTTAAAAGAAAAAGGCCTGGTAGAGCACAGCGAGGTTTCTCTAGGCAACGTCTGACCTAAGGAGGGTTTCTGAGTTTGGGTCAGGGACCATGATGGAGAAAGCAACAAGGGCTTAGAGTAGGGTAAAGGATGGGCCTGGTTCTCCCCAAAACTCTGCCACTAATTAGCACCCCCACTCCCCTTCAAGCTCACGGCTCCAAGTTCCTGTGGTGCGCCAGGTAGCGAGCAGGTCAGATGGCCTCTGCTCTCGTGGAACGGAAAGCCCCACCGACAGGACGCACTGAACGCTGCGAGTCTCTGACAAAGGACTTAACCCATCCCGGGGAAATAGGAAAGGCGTCCCCAGGGAGTGACATTTCAATGTGGAGACGGAAAGATGAGTAGGTGTTAATTAGGAAAAGGAAGATGTTTATGCCACCCCCCCAGCCACACCCATCCGTGCCAGGCAGGCTTTGGGGAGATGAGAAAAACAAGGTGTGGGCAGAGGCAGG